GTATGTATGAACGACACGAAAAAAATATAACTTTACTTTTTCATCTAGCCAGATGAAATCAACAAATAACAAAACAAAAACAAAAGCACAATACTTATAATTAGTTAGTTCACTCTGACCACCAGATTCTAAGTTGATATCAACTATTTCCAACATGAGGTAGTCAAACAAAAGATTTCACGCGCGCTGAAAGTATTTCAATGTCTATCTGTCAGGAAACAGAAAACGTTACCTCCCTACCTATACTGCTTCGGTTCACAAGTTCAGCTACATATCACTCACTTGCTCCCTCCCTCAAATGAAATACTTCAATGGACATATCGAAAATATATTTAGATCTTAGATTACGACTGATATGGCAAATAAACGCAAACAAAATATATGCACAATTCGGTTACTTCAATGAATTCAGTTAGCAGTAATTATATACACATGCGATTTCATAGTAACTTTCCGATGACACCAAATAATTTTATGAAGTAGAAATAACCACCTTCGGTTTTTTTTGCAAATCTTGGAACCTTCCTTTTTTAATTTCAAAAAAAAATATCAATGATCTTCGTATGATCATCAACAACAATATCTCTCTTGATAACTCGTAAATACATATCATCGAGTCTTTAATATCAGTCATATCATTCTAGAAGTACAAAAAAAACGTCTTTCCTCTAGTTGCATGATGGTATATACAAGAAAGGATCTATTAGTTGTGATATTTTATTAGAACTGTTTTCGCCTGTAGATCCATTCAACACCCATTGATAACAAATGCAGCATTTTACTATCAAAACAAAAAAAAGTCATCTAGCTTACATTGTGCAGACGCACAATCATCGTGAAGAGTCATATGACAACTGTTCATCTCTGTGTGTTAACACGTCGTAGTCTAGAGAATATATTGTGTCACATAAGCAAATATGACCTTGAACGAATGTAAAAATTATTTAAGGTTTTTGAATTTATTTCCATGTTTACATTATTATTTACATATTCAAATAGGTACCATTGACTCAAAGAACTTTGATTCTAAACTGTTGACTACTACACCTGTGATTTCTGAATAAACATTTTCAGAGTCTATTACCTGTAGGAGAAACATATATGTTTCTTTCAATTTTCTAGGTACAATTTTAATATGAAAAATACAAAAAAAACAAAAATCAAGCAATTTTTCTCACATAAAATAACTAACTATATTCTCATAGCTCATATCTGACAAACAAGTAACAATAATTTGAAACATGCTGATTAATTTAGCTATAAAATTGATCATAATCTCATCTAGAACAAAAGTATCTTCACACATGACAACGGTAAAGCAATAGAACATAGTAAGTAATGAATGTGTCTTTTCGAGAGAAAAAAAATACTACTCGCTCTCTTCTATTCAAGGGTGTGCGTGTGTAGGTTCTTCTCTTCTCTAAACTCACACCCACACCCTCGTCCTTTTTAAACAAGCCCTACGAACGGTTCACTAAGTATATTCTTATGTATCTCGACATTCATTTAAACACATGTTGTTTTTAGTCATAGTTTTCATAGTTAACTAAATAAATAATCCATTAAAAAAACTCCACTCAAAACTATATCAACATTTCAGCCAACATCTAGCAAAAAAAAACATACCCAACAATATAAAAAACAATTATCACATGCACCCCCTCAACTCATACCATCATTCACAGATATTTTTGAACTTCGTTTCGTTTCGTTTTTTTCTTTTTTTGTCTCAGTTATAGTCTTCAAGCGATGTCTTCTTTTGCAATCAGAATTTCATCTATAAGTGTTTGTAAATAAAAAAAACACATTATGAAGTCATGAAAATTAATTCTACACTATGATAACTGAGAAGAGAGAGAGAGAGAGAGAGAGAAAAGCTTTTTTTTCTAGGATTTTTATACGCATTTTCAAAAACAGGTTAGTAAACAATCCCCGAAAATTTGACATATGTAAGCGGCAGAAAACGTGGAGGGTCACTGCTTATTTTTATCGAAAAAAACATTCTCGACTAGAAACTTAACGGAAGGAAGGAAGGAAGCAAGGAAATAAATTAACCATCACAACAAAAACAGCCGATATTCTTTTATTAGACAATAGAAATAATTAAGAAATCTTGGCGATCTCAACAAAACTTCATGATCACCATCACCATCACCATCATCATCATCATCATCAGTGCTTATCATCTGACATTATCATCACTGATCACAATGATCATGATGATGATGACGACATCGAAAGCTTTGCTAATTTTCCCTACACTGAAAGGATAGGGTCTAGAAACCGTAATTCACCTCTGTCTGTCTGTCGGTCTGTCTGTAACAATGGCACAAACGACCATTTACATGGCAAAAATTGGCCATTCCTATGGTACAAAATGACCATCTCCAAGGCACGATTGGCCATTTTTAACGGAACATATTTTTAGCGGACAAACTGATAGGGGCACGGGGGTAGTCCCGTCTGATGACGAAGCACGTGTGTAGCGTGCTACTAAACTTCCCATAAGGAACTTTTTGTTCCTCCATCGCTAAATTTGTTAACGGCATGATCCAGTCCCTAGGTGAAACACCGACCTCTACTACCTGCTCTGAAACATATTTTAGCCTCCTGATGAGAATAGCCAACAGTGTGTTCTATTAGAGAGTATAGACTGAGAGCTCTCCTGCTCGTTTGATCAGAAACAAAATCGTGGTTCTGACAGTGCTTCGCACTTGTCTTTCATGCTTATTTCGACTGCGTTTTTTTATTCATGGCTCTTGAAAATATTTCATTTTCTTCTCATCAGTACCTCCCACTTTCACTTATTCATCTTTTGTATTTCTTTCTTGTCTCGATTGAACTGATCCACTCTTCTTTTTGGAAATTTCACGATCTGTGACGGAAACTGCCGATGGAGTCGCCGGTTCATATATTTGTACGTGTGTCTTCTGTCAGTCTACGGCTGAGTGAATCGATTTTCGATTCATGTTACTCTTGTATTATTTCTATTAAATAACAAAAAAGAATACCGGATTGCTGTTCATTTACTTCAGTTATTCTGATAGTATAATTACTCTTAAAAGAATAAACTCACTTTTTTTTCTATTCTCGACCTACACGTATGTATGAACGACACGAAAAAAATATAACTTTACTTTTTCATCTAGCCAGATGAAATCAACAAATAACAAAACAAAAACAAAAGCACAATACTTATAATTAGTTAGTTCACTCTGACCATCAGATTCTAAGTTGATATCAACTATTTCCAACATGAAGTAGTCAAGCAAAAGATTTTACGCGCGCTGAAAGTATTTCAATGTCTATCTGTCAAGAAACAAAAAACGTTACCTCCCTACCTATACTGCTTCGGTTCACAAGTTCAGCTATACATATCACTCACACACTCCCTCTCTCAAATGAAACAGTTCAATGAACATATCGAAAACATATTTAGATATTAGATTACGACTGACATGGCAAATAAACACAAACAAAATATATGCACAATTCGGTTACTTCAATGAATTCAGTTACCAGTAATTATATACACATGCGATTTCATAGTAACTTTCCGATGACACCAAATACTTTTATGAAGTAGAAATAACCACCTTCAGTTTTATTTGCAAATCTTGGAACCTTCCTTCTTTAATTTCAAAAAAAAACTATCAATGATCTTCATATGATCAACAACAACAATATCTTTCTCGATGACTCATAAATACATATCATCGAGTCTTTAATATCAGTCATATCATTATAGAAGTACAAAAACAAAAACGTCTTTCCTCTAGTTGCATGATGGTATAGCTATACAAGAAAGAATCTATTAATTGTGATATTTTATTAGAACTTGTTTCACCTGTAGATGCATTCAACACCCATTGATAACAAATGCAGCATTTTACTATCTAAACAAAAAAAAAACATCATCTAGCTTTCGTTGTGCAGACGCACAATCATCGTGAAGAGTCATATGACAACTGTTCATCTCTGTGTGTTAACACATCGTAGTCTAGAGAAAATATTGTGTCATATAAACAAATATGACCTTGAACGAATGTAAAAATTATTTAAGGTTTTCGAATCTGCTTTCATGTTCGTAACTCTTTTTGTTAACTTTCACTGTCTGCATCAAACTTTGATTCTAAACTGATGACTACTACATCTAGAATTTCTGAATAAACATTTTCAGGGTCTATTACCTGTAGAAGAAAAATATATGTTTCTGTCAATTTTCTAGGTTCAATTTTAATATGAAAAATACGAAAAACAAAAAATTTAGCTATCAAATTGTTCATAATCTCATCTAGAACAAAAGGATCTTCACACATGACAACGGTAATCCAATAGAACATATACTAAGTAATGAATGTGTCTTTTCGAGAGAGAAAAAAGACTCCACTCTCTCTCTTCTATTCAAGGATGTGCGTGTGTAGGTTCTTCTCTTCTTTACACTCACACCCACACCCTCGTCCTTTTTAAACAATCCCTTGGTCTTGTATTCTTTTTTCAATAATGCCAACAATTCATTTTTGTCTTGTTGGCTGGGCTTCATTCTGATCAAAACGTCGATCAGCAATTGTGAATGCAAAAATTCACCGTTCAACTCTGTTGAACTACGATCCAAAATATCCATGGCCAAAGCTTCTTCGTTTCGGCCGCGATTCTTTTGATCGACTCGAATTATATCGATCAATTCATCTAGTTTGGTGCACACAGCTTTTACCTATAATATATTAACATTGTAGTATAGAATAGTTAAAAAAATAAAATATAATTACATACTTTTTTATATGGTTGGCTCCATTGTAAATTAGCCTCTTTGTCAAAACAATATACGTATATTGACGATACCTGAGCCAATTTTTGCATTTCGGGCACGACAATGCGACCCATTTGACCGCTGACAATCAATATTGTAAGATCGCCTTGTTGAATAAAACGAACACGATCTAAAAATTCTTCAGGATCGACAAACGTTCGTAATTGATTAATAATACGTCGTAATTTCTTTTGAGCCTTAATATTTTCTTCATTATTGACTGAAGCATCTAACCAGAAGATGCTATACGTTTCCAAACTATCATTGCTGCTAGTTGGATTCATTGAGCTGGCCATGTTTGATTATGTTTAAAAAATATGTATCTCTGTATGCGTATGTGTATTTATTTTGCGTTTGCAATTCGAATAATCTCGCCTTTTTATTAGACTCTTTTTTTTTATTTGTAGCAACCACGTGCGAGAAAAAGTCTTTCTCTTACCTCAAATCTCCCGTCTTTATTCAAAAATTTGCTGTTCTTTTCTTCATATCACTGCCTAGCAAAGACAAACAGATAAAGTCCATTATTATCTCTTTGATTCTGATCTGCTCGCACTCAAAACGTTCTATATTTACATTTGTTGCTTCGCTGTCAGGTGAACAGTATTTCGCCGAAAAGGAAATTTCTTTTATCGCGTTTCTTTTGATGCATCTCAACTGCATCGTCTACATTTTTATCTTCAGCCAACAATATAACGCACACCTCACATGCTTGGTTTTTTCCAACTTCGACTAAAAATTATTGTGCATTACCCATGTAGCCGATTTTATGAAGGGTGTGGGTGGGTGTGGATGTGAGTGCAGGTTCATTGAGGTTTAACACCCACACCCTCAAATCTTACTTGCTTTTTTTCTTCCAAAAAGGACACAATGTTAGAGCAATAGTAGGGTATGTGTGTGTGTGTTTTGGTGTATTTATTGACGATGAAAATATTCCCAGGAAGAGAATAGTTGGAGCAGTGTCATAAAGTGAATCCGAGCAAGTAAATATGTCGTTTCGATTTATCGGGCACGCGTACTCCTACCTGTGTGTAACGCTACACAAATATACAGTCGCAGGCGCACATCTTTTTTCATAGTCAAAGAAGGCAAGAACTTACCTATGCTAGCATAGATGATGATCATGCATTTCCATCGCTAAGCTACGGTAAAATTGTTCTTCAAGTATTACTGACTCACGACAATTGCTGGGATAATTGAATATGCGTAGATTGAGTCCAGCAAATGTCATATATTTCCTTCTTCTATTGCATAACATTAATCACATTGTTTATACTCTCAGTTCTATATACATTAGAGCCAGCAGAACACACAAAGGTATCCATAATTAAACGAAAGACAAAACCTTGCAGGACAAACGCTGAGTTCTGCCTAAGGTACATTAAAATCAAGTGTATAAGGTTACAATTATATCGAACGAAAAATGTAAATTAATTTTTCGAGAAAAAGCAATACTTGCACGTACAGCTCATACTCATGTCCGTTTCGGGAAATCCTAGCATAGTTGAAAATAAATATGTCGATAGATAGAAGTGTCAATGTATTCAAATGTCGAAAAAAATACAAATTATACTGTTGTTTATGAGGTAAAAATCCCATGTTTATGTAATTGAAAAAATGTTTTATTTATTTAAAGAATTTACAATGAGGATATGAATAAAACAACGCAAGTAACCTCAATGAACAACTATACTTAAGCGATACACGTGTGTTCTATCTATTTCTTTTTTGATAGAACAACTTATGACAAATCAATAAGTAGATCTGAAAAGCTAATAACATCATTATTATATCTATCATAAAAAGTATTTATGCAAGCTTGTATGAAAGTTGCTCGTAGATTTAGTTTGCTATTTTATGCACCAGTAGACCATTGAATAATAACTGATTGCCGTCTTTTCTCTTTTGCTTTCATAAATTTCATAAACTTCCTAATACTAGGATGGTTGTGAAGAATGTGATGGCTTATTCTGCTATGATACAACACTAGACCATAGTAATCATTAAAACACAAAGTCTATGTGAATATTATTTTCATACCCACACCCTCAAGTTTGCATTAGACATGATTATTTTAGCAACCCAGGACAAGAAATTCCGGACTCGGATCCTATAGGAATCCTTTAAAATCCGATAAATTTCGACAGGGAATTCCGTAACTTCCGACAGGATCCATGTCGGACATTGATGGAATCTTTTGTTTCGGAATCCGATAGGAAGTTGTCGGATATCGGATCCACCGATTTCCGACTGTCGGATCCAATAGTCGGAAAACGTTGGAACCCTCAGGATCCGATAGGTTCCTGCTTAAGTTTCAAAACCACATTGAATATTGTTCACAGCATGGATATCTGAGTCATTTACTATCATTATATCGGTTTCATTAGCTTTATTGATCTTGTTCATCTGTTTATTTTCAAATAGTTTTCATACGCAATAAAAATAAACGTTATTGTACAAAAACAAAAAAAATGCTTGAAAGACGATTTTTTTTTCACATTCAAAGTGTGTTTCAACAAAAATAAAAATAAAAAGACGAAATTGTTACTTTGAATGCTTCACTAGATAAATGCATTTTTCATAGATAGGCTATGATCCCGATAAAGATATTGAAGATTGTGTTGAGGTACTTTTACGATGGCGTTTACGTTCATCGGCCAGAAAATCAACTAGTTTTGATCGAACTAATTTACCATAAAATTCGTCGTAACGATCAGCAGAAATTTGATATTTAACACGCATAGCATCTAAACAGAAATTGAGATTCGAGAACATCAAATTTTTCACAGTAATGTATGATTAGCTATATATAAAACTAAAATTAAAATAATTAATTGACTGTAGTCTGTACGACAAAAAATTTCAAACCATACCAAGGAATAATAATTTTTCTTTTGGTATGATTATACAAAAACGAAAACTACGGTTGTTTTTTCAGGAAAGTTTCAGAAAAGTTTTAATTATTATACATGTTCATGGTCTGAATTTCAGAAGGAAATTCATGTAGAACTATTTTTCAGCAATTAACTAATTAAATCTGTTACAACACTATCCAAATATTTTTCTGGTATCTGCAAAAATATTAAGAAAATATACAAATGAAAGAAAGATAGAAACAAACCACATCATCAAAATTTTCGTCTTTGCTTGATTCATGAAAAGAAGAAAGATCAATCTAAAAAATAAAAATGTCAAATAGGTAGCAAGAAGAAAGCGAAAAACTCACAATATCAATATGATGTTTACGATCGATTTTTTTCGATAATCGAACGAATTGTTTTTCATTTTCTTGTCTAATTGAATTAAATTGAATATCCAAATCTTTGATGAGAACAAGCTACAAAAAAAATCGATTTCACATTAATTTAACCATAAGTGGTCAAAATATTCAATCTTGATGATGTGATCGAGATTGTTGACATTTTTTTTCTTTTTATTAAATAAAGTTGATGATTTTGATTGACCAGTTCAAGAGCATCTTGTACATCAACATCCATCTATATAAAACAAAACAGATATAGAATAAAATAAATTGTAGAATGATTTTTTCGACTATGAAATTCAATTGAAAATCAGTGCAAAAAATATGTATAAATGCTTCTTCTTGATCAAATCTATTCAAACACTTCTATCTAATAAGAATAAAGATATCTGTACTCAACGTTTTTGCAAGCAAATAGGACCCTTCCTGTCTGCTTAACATTAAAAAAGTAATGTTGAATGTGAAAAAAATTGAAGAAACCTAATCTTACAGAATTTAATCAAAATCAATATTTGTATAATCAATAAGACATTAAATAATATTAAATATCTAGATAAATATAATTTCGTTCGAGCATTCGATTCTAAAATAAAGAAACATGTCGGAAATATACAAAAATAAAATCATACTTTCTATAATAAACCAATAAATTTACAATGACATGTTAAAAGACACTAATTTAAAAAGAATTAAAATAATCCCCAATTGTCAAAATTATAAATGCCAGCTTTTCTGAAATAATGTTTGATGCACTGATGTCGTACTAAAAAAGATGAAACAACATAGATCAATCGAAAACATAAGATAATAACAAGTTCTCGAAATTACAAAATAAAGCAACTAAAAACTAAATACAAACAGATGTTTACTATCGCGAATTTTCATTAATTTAATATTATACAGTCAAGATAGGTTTGCCATTGTCCAAAGTGGGCTAGAAATATGTTTTGAATATTTATGAAAGTAGAACAGTTCATGATTCACGGCGTCGGATATTGTCGGATCCGATAAGTTCCAGTTGTCGGATGACAACGGATCCTATTATCCGAATCCAAGAGAATCCGATTATTGAAAAAAATCGGAAATCAAGAGATATCACCCGGTTTCCGATCGTCGGCATCCGATCGGATCCGATGAGGTGGTTTCGCCCTGGGAATATCCAAAGGAACCGATTCGTTTAGCACTACAGGTATGCCAACTCTGAAATCAAAGTTCACATCAAAGGAACAAAAGAAATGTTTCCACAGATCAAATCAAATCACGAGCCTGTCTAAACAGTTTATCAGATCGGAACCAAAACGGAACAGTTACACTCCTAATTATCATTCACGTTTATAAACATATATTTTTTGCAAACCCTAAAATAAGATAGATTTTATAAAATTTAATATACGAATTATAAAGGATACTAATTCGACTCTCTATACGTCTTTATTTTGACTACATTACTGTAGTTAGCTCTTCTTAGTCAGGAAAGTTAATATAAAAATTGAAAGCAATCAATCACACGAACAATTCGAGTACAATATCTTGAATTCTAATTCAACCAATATCATGGACACAGCTATCAATAAATTTCATTAGTACGCTGGCTTTAGTTGTAAAACTTTTCTTTCAGATAAATCGAAGAAATTACACTGATTCTAGGTATTTCTGGAGTATCTGTTGTTTAACACAAAGTTCTTTCATCCATTGAAAAAGATATGTTAATCGCAATGTATTATTCATTTCGGCAGGTATCATATTTCGACAATAATTCTGATACGAATTGTCAGCTAATGCGTTTGACAATATTTTCTTTTCTGAAAGAATTATGCTATGCAGGGAGAAGGTACTGGTATACTTCTGAAGTACAGAAGTGCCGAGAAGTACCTAACAGTACCTAGAAGTACGAATAAGGAAGCGTGTAGCTACAAAACTGCGATCTTGTCAGGATTTGGATAGTTCAAAAATGTAAAAGGGATTTTATCACAGCTTGCAGGATTTGCATTGGTTTTCTTGACAATGTTTTCAAATTTCTTGGCAGGATTTTCGCCGGATTTTCAAAATAAAGCATAAGAAAAATGAAAAAAATAGAGTATTAATCTGTAGACCTTCAGTTAATATACAGATCAGCTTACTCAATGTTCCACTTCATTCCAGATTACTTCACCGTTTAATATCGTAATTTCTCGCTTTAATGAGAAGAAGGTCTATATTCATTGAAGTATTTGCTAATGATTCAAAATATCTACTCAGAGAAAAAACTTTTTCGATGATTTATTTCAAACAAACACCCTAGTTTTGTGATATTCAATCTTCTCTCCCTAATAAGATAAAGACAAAAGCTCATAGTTGTAGTGTCCGACTTTAGAAACAACTTTTATTCAAACTTCAAAAAAAGATTTAGAATATTTTTTTCTCAGATTTTTAAGATTTGTTCTATTTGGTGATGAAATGAACCAGAACAAGATCACGATAAAAATGCCAGTAAATTATTTAGTTCTTAGTATTGTGTCCTGTCTCAAAGAAAAAGAATAATATCTTGAAAATTCTTTCAATTTATTTTGCTGAGATTTCGCTGAAAATTGACATTCAAATTCTATTCTGGTCTATACATTTTTGAACATCTGAAAGGATTCTGACCTAAGCCCAGCTAAAAACGTCAGGAAATCACTTCATATATATTTAGTCCAGAATTCTAAAATTTTAGAAGTCTCGAGTTTTAGAATAGGGTCACTGCTGGACGTTCTATTCAAACGCTATATACGGTCAAAGTTACCGAAATTGTTAATTTTCGGTCATATTGAACAATGGGTAAAATTTCAATAGTTCAATATTTCGGGACAAAAAAATTATGATGAGTATAACTCATAAGATTATATGCCTGGAAAAAATTTCAGCTCAATCCGTATAGCCAATCACAAGATATTGCCCTAAGAAGATCCCTGTGATGAAAGTGTTCATTTTTGGAGCTTTTCGTAAAATGCTCATAAAAATTCGAGGGTTCAATATTTTTCAAAACGGCTTTTGTAGAAGTTCGTAGAATTCTTTGCTCTACAAAATATATTAAATTGAGCAGAATCGGATGACCTCGATAGAGCAATGTTGTTATGATTCAGGCGTGGCTTACGCGGACTGGCTCATATGTTGAGAGCTTGAAATTATACGTAGAAAGTAAATACTTGGTTATGTGATATCTGCTGCGAATTTGAAACTACAGGTGGGAAGCAAGCATGCTATATACGTAGAAAGTAAATATCTGATTATGTGATACCTGCTGAGCATTTAAAATTATAGGTAGGAAAGAAGCATGTTAAATATGGTGAGAATTTTAAACCATCGGTACGGTAGAAAATAAATATCTGATTTCTTTTGGAAAAATCAGATATCAGCGATCAAATATTTCATGAAAACTGGTACCAATTTGAGATATGCCATGGCCTCAAATTTTTAGACTATTACACATTTTTCTTTCACCTTTATGATAAATATACGTGCAATGTTCTACTTTGTTTCATAACATAATTTCCTATTTACTCTGCTCACTTTACAAGATGAAATTACCCGAGCACGTACATCTCGGCAAATAATTACTTTTCTTTTCTTTTCTTTTCATTATCAATATTAACTTGAAATGAACAATGGAAAGAGAATATTCTCAAGAGAGCAAAAAAAGTGCGAGTCTTAGTTTATATTTCGCCGTACTTCATTGTAAAATGTTTTTTGCAAATAGGTTTGCAGAACACTAAGAATTTCTATTATTTAAATAATAAATTTCATATTGGTAATTATTGTACTACTTATTTTTACTGTAAAATAATCTTCCGTCANTAAAGTGCCACCCCTAATCGAGAACTGATTTTTACCGTAAAATAATCAATTATGTTAGGGTTACAATATATGATTGTGATCAGATTTTAAACCTCTATCGTTTGAGACAATCACTACTTAATTATAAGACAAAAAATTTTCTTACGAATTGTTTCATTATTCCTTTACTCCCCCTCAGGCACATATGGGGGTCGAAACGTTTTTGTTCCTTTTTCGAAAGGACTATCTCTGCCATTATCTTCAGGATGAAGTTCTTATTTCTCTGAGACTAAAATTTTCACGGACGAACGACCAATAGATAGCTTAGAGGTTTTTTTTTCAATGTGGTATTGACTAGACCAAAAGCAATGCTAGACATTTTTAGACCCCAGTGCACCCTTATTTTTTGAACATGTTTTGTGCAGAATCAAAAGTTCTACAAACCTTTCAAAATAGCATAGGTTTGTTATAATGCGCCTGTTTCCGTAAAAGCAGCATGATAATGAAAAACTTGATTGCAGACTCATTTTCAGGCGCAATTGCATTTAATTATAGCTAGATTATGTACTGCCATGTAAAGAAATCATCAGCTATCAGTTGTCAGTTTATTGAATTCTCATTTATCTTCGAAAATTTTTCTCGTCTTAAAATGATCTTTGATTGAGAAATAATAAAACTAAAATTGCGTCTGTACATATTTTGATATTCTTAACATAGAAAAAAAGCCGAGCATTTATTCAACTGAAGTTATCAATTGATCTTCAAATGAACAATATTGCATTGACTGAATAAGATGAATTCAGACAGAAGTGTTTCATTTTTCAGTTACATCACTCTTTATTTTTCGACCTGATAAAGAAGTCTTCGTACTTATTATATCTACAATTTCATTAAAACTTTGTCTGCGAATAGAAACACTCTTAGTCGGATAAAATTAATAAAGGAAAACTTTTTTACATATACAAATGTGAGATTATTACTTTTTCGAAAAGAAACATGATTGAGAAAAACAGTGAGTTCGAAATTGACCTTGTTGTAAAACTTGTTTGTTACAAAAAATTGTCCTTGCAATATAGAAATTTACTAGTTTGACCTATCCAAACACGTGAATATCGGTAAGTATAAACAAAATTAAATAAATAAATATTTTTTGTTTCATTTAAATTTTATTGCACAACTTATACAATTATAGGAATGCATGAAATGATATAACGAAATCTGTTTTTTTTATTTAGTTGTGACCTGACGACCAATGGAACTCGACCCAGTAAGCAAAACAACAAAAATAACGTGTAAAAACGCACCGAAAAAAAGCTGAAATTTTTCTGAGATTTTTTTCTTTAATTAGTAACCTTTAAGCTCTTAAAGTCATTTTAATATTCATTTTAGATTAGATTTCATTCCAAAGAAGTTCAATATGTTTTAAATCAGTAATATATTAAAATAGCGATCGATCGGTTTCAATGAATGCTTCCTTCATCAATCCTATGTTCAAGTCATTATATATGAATATAGTCAAGAAGTTAATTAAAAAAGTCTCTTCACAAAATAGGAGTTTTCAAATTTTTCTAATAATATCTCTGATACTCACGTGGCTTCTATTCATTAGATTAAATAATTCTATTAAACTTACTTATAAAATTATCCGACCTTCCGATATACAAAACTCTCCACATAATATCTGCGAGATCAATGAATGTGAAACGGAACAAAGCCAGAAACATGGTGATCTATTTAAATTGTTTCCATTAGACTGGTCTTCTTGTTATAATGATTTTTATTTAAACGCATTCGATAATAACGAAACATCTGTTGATACTTTAATCGATGTTGGCGCAAATAAAGCATATGCAGTAGCTACATGGTTAAGCTTCTTTTCCCCTGAAATTGGCATTAATCAAGCTCGCTTAGGCGAATATATACGTTCATTGCAGACTCTCTCGGAGCCGTGTGGTTCATGTAATGATTGTAAAGATTCGCCTTTGAAAAGAGATAATACTGAAAAAAAATTGCAATTACAAATTCATGCATTTGAGCCCCAACCTGGAACAGTCGATGTATTAAAAGGTATTAAAAAATGGATGAATATCAGTACTATAAGTGACGTAACTTTCGAAGTTCATGGTATGGCAGTAAGTGAGTAAGTATTGTAAATTGATACTACGAAGCAACGGTTTGATTGGTTCAACTTTATTAAATAGTCATACAGGCCATGCCTTATTTCGGAAATGTAATGCTGGCAATGAAGTATGTAGTTTAGATATTTCTGGCGTTGCCCAGAATGCACAAATTCAAGTCAATACAACTTCATTAGATGATTTTGCTGATAAAAATAACCTATCGAAAGTTGATATACTCAAAATAGATACCGAAGGATATGAACCATTAGTATTTCGTGGTGCTCAACGTCTATTAAAAGAACATCGCATTCGATTGTTTATATTTGAATATCTTGCAGGTATTTCATTTTGTTTTTGTTCTCTTTCGAGATGTGACAAGCGACAAAACGCGTAGAACTAAACTATTTTTTGTTGACTTTTAAATTAGATGGTGTATGGCGTAATACTTCGTTAGAGATTGAAATAGCAAAATTAGCAAAACTAGATTACGTTTGCTACATGGTCGGCAAAACAGGTGTCATACGCGTATCAAAATGTTGGAATGACAAGTTTAATGTGAATCATTGCAATTTACTTTGTGTTTCAGCCAAAGATGAACGATTACTATTCAATATCGACCAAATGAGAGTAAGGAGTTCAGTTGCAACTACATGTAAAACGATTTCCAGAAGTTAAATATTTGACTGTTTTAATATAGTTTTGAGTTTGCTTATTTACAATTCTAATGTGGTAGTTATGATCTGTACATGAAATGAATTGGATTTTCTTTGCTGTGAAAAGAGAATGCAATTCATTTTGTGAATCATGGGTTTGGTTTATTTATATTCAGTTTAATAATTTTTACGTGCATCTCTAACTTGCTTCAATCGAAATGTATGCTTATTTGAGTTAAAATAAAATAAGCCAAGTAATATGACAGCTCAATTTTTGACATGTCTTTCATTTCTATTCAAAGGTTATCTAAATTGATTTAGTATTGACTATCGTATTGAACAGGTAACCTCTTTGCACATGATCAAATATGGGCTCATTGGAATTATTTGCACGGATTTGAAGAAATACTAGAACTTGTCTAAACAAAATTATATTTTATGCGAAGGAAAGCGTGGATTCACATCTCATGATTTAGTACTTTCAATGCTTGGAAAATTTACAGTATCTATAAAAATGTATTTTTTTTTGTGGATGAAAGTGACATATAATCGAAGCTATCGCAAGTCAAAAAATCTATACAGGAAAAGAAAAAAAAGCACACATGTTAAAATCTAAACTACTATTTTTCTAATAACAGTTGCTACAGATTCAATTGTACACTTGAAATTCGCTTAGAATACTATGTTATCAAGTGTCGAAAACACCAATTATTTTCTTTTGAAAATTCTAGCAATAAAATTTTATACCATGAAGAAAAAAACAAGTTTTACTTTTACATGAATAGAAAAAACAAAATAATTATTTCTTACCAACATAATCAAAAATGTGATGGTATGTGTGAAACGTTTTTTTACTTATGTGACCAGATAGAAGTGTGACTGCGATATGTCTCATGACTATATCGATTATTTTCAATGGCAGAACAAAAAGAAATGCTATACGCGCGTGAACGCAAAAAAATGGCGACGAGGGTGAGATTCGAACTCACGCGGGCAGAGCCCATTAGATTAGCAGTCTAACGCCTTAACCGCTCGGCCACCTCGTCGGAACAAGTTGTTTCTAAATCATATTGTAATCAAGTTCGGTTATGATTATCTCAACGACTTTCCTCATATAATAAAAAAATATTAATGTTCGATGAACATTTATGTATGTAAAATAATGAGAATATTTTTTGTGAGGTATATATTAGACTTAGTTGCTCGTAAAAATGAACCGAGAGTAGAAATACAACTATTGAATATAGATCAAGAGCACAGTAAGTCAAGCTAACACTGAAATTAATGGCAGATCTGACCATTTTTTTGTAAATCTTGCTATTACCTGACGTGCAAAGGACTTTTGTACGAGGAATATGACATATATGATTTCTTATGGCATATTCTCAACAAATTACAGTCTTGAGTGGCAGACATGACTTTAAAAAAAGTATTGCAGCTGTAAAAGGAAACGCCGGTGCTTTGGGCAATCTAAACTGAGCCAATACTTGACAATTATTAATCACTATCAATGCAGTCTTACCATATTATTCTGTGTATTATTAACTCTACCTAAAACATGAAATCTTCGTGCACTCTCTAGACTTCCGAGGCACATCAAACAAAAGAATTTTTTTCTAACATTAATAATAAAATCAATTCAATAAATTTATAATCAGTAATCATTTTAAAGTGTACATTTCTCGCATGAATTCAATTCATTTCCACCTATTGTCCTTGCGCATTCTTAACTAATGAAGGCAAACAAACTACACAACTTGATTGTTTCATTTCATAATGACGCGACGACAACGATTCTTTTCGACATGATACGTACATCGCAGCGCTTGCCAGGATTCCAGCGAAAAAATTATTTGCAAAGGACATCCCCTCGGGATTTATCAGGACATATGATATTAAAACTAGAACGATAGATGAAGGTAATTCATAAGTAGTTCCTTGAAATGTTGTTACTTGATATTTATTGTGTCTAAATTGTTGCTAACAAATAGAAACATGAAATTCTTTTCAATGATAAAGATACGAAAAACAATACTTGCGTAACACGTCGTTTAAGCGAAGTTATGTGGCCATTAATTCGATTCGATTCCGTCTGTTTAATATTAGAGGTGGCACTTTAAACGCGTCTTTTGAATACTTTTTACTGTATTGACGTATTTAGTCATGCCTGTGAGACTCTCTGCAACAGATAAAACGCCGAAAAAAGCATTTGACCGTGACTTTAAACAACTTTAAACTCTTCACTTTACGGTCAATTTAAAGTTAAAGTGCCACACTTATGTAATAAAATGATTATTTCGATTTTATTGATCATCATCAACACAAAACGAACCGTTGCTATACGATTTTAATCTTACATTTGAGTCTTCCAATGATGTTTTTGTCTAAATCAAAAAGAACCTGAGACAAAAACAGTATTGCCATTGTAGAAATATTTTTTTTATAACGAACAATATCAAACATCTTAGAATTACATATTCAAAACTGGTTTGTTTCAAACTAACATGATTTGAAAAATTCCCAAAAGTATGATTAATATCTTTTTATTTCTTATTATTTGTATCTAGTAAATTAAATAGTCGTATCATAGTTGGCGCTGCAATTATTTAATTGTAAATTCTTTTCGCGTTTTAAACAAAATCACATTGGTTGAATTCATGAAAGGCTGCGCCATATTTCTCTCCGTATAATAGAAGAATAAAAATCAGTAGGACATAATTGAAAGTAGATGCTAACTGAATCACCAATAATATTACGAGAAACAGCAAACAAAACGATGTATCCAACAGTTATTCAATTGCGTATTCATATTTTTTGTTAACGAAAAATTACGAATTAGAACCATAGCCAAACGCTTTATGCGTGAAAATTAATTTAACTTTCACTGTCGCATGTTTATATTGACACTATGATAAAATCTGGTGATAACAGGGTCAAAATAGAATCTTTTATAATATCTAAAGTAATATCCTTTTTTCAAGGTAGTTATTAAATGCAATATGACTAATATGCGTGTTAAAAGCTTATATTTAGTTTTTATTGTTGGAAAAATACTCAATATCTTGAAGTTGGTATTATTTGATTTTTTTGTTATTGTATTGTTCGAAAAACTTCAAGTCATGGACATCAGATTAAACGCATGAATGACAATAAGACATATTAATCAATAGTTTGCTGTACATCAATTTATCCCGTGCGTGGCGCGTTGACAGAAAAGAAAAAAATACAATGACTATAAGCATTGCATTATTGTGTTTGTTGTTCACATCGATAAAAATAGATTCAAGTTTAAGACTCAAGATAAAAAGAAATGAAGGCTTGATCATTATTAGACGATCAGAAAATTTATTCAATAAAAAAAAACATAGTTAGTCAAGTTAGAAAAATGACAAAGAAATAATTCCTTTTATTATTTACAGGGGTCGCAGCGGTCTATGTCTCAAAATCAGGAATTTAGGCAGGACATTTTCAAACTTATTGGAATAGTTAAGTAAGTGATTAAATCTTCAAAAAAGTGAAACAAGTATTGGCAATCTATTATAATAACCACATGCATTGCTTCGATGAGCTTCATAAACCGTGAAGAAAAAATGAAAAATTTAAAGAAATAATTTTTCGTCAGGTGCGTGTTTTTAATTCTGTTGTTTTTGTTCTCGGGGCTCGAGATGCACTAATCCCAGCCGTGGTTGTGCGACTTGAATATTCAGTTCGACTGTAGTGGTGCATGCCTATTCTTTCACATGATTTATCCTAGTTGGTGTTCTGTCTCCGTGTATATAAATGTGTATCTGCGTATATATGATGCTAGTTTATTGTGCAGTTTTGTTTCTGTACTTCGAGTCTCTTCTGTTGAAACGCTTTCGAACGCTGAGAAACGCCAGCTTTGGTTCAAAATGCTTGCTTAAATTCGATAACACCGGCAAAGCACATTTCCAGTGGATTTCAATAGGTCAAACAAGAAGATCGTTCCAGTTTATAGGACGCAAATAACAGAAAAAAGGGAAATATTCACGATTCAAACAAAAATAAAGTTGAACACTATTTCTCTTTTTTGTGAAGCTTATCAACAAAGAAAAATATTTGAAGTCACTTATATCTAGACCCTATAGGTAAAAAATCATAAACTATCAAGACAAAATCAGGACATTAAAAAGCCAGGAAAGTAGTACTGCTGCGAGGTCTGAAATTATTTATTTTAGTAATTATATTCATTGATATAGAGATTACATGCAGTACAAAATTAGGAAATCTTTAACACCGAATAACAATAGACATAAACCGATTGAAACTGCTTTTATTTTTATAGAATTCTAGTTCATTCGGTTGAGATCATTTATCTATTGTTAGGATAAAAGAAAATTTAACTTGCCTACAAAACAATTATCAATTTTGAGCAGTCTCTCGTCTAACATTTCATTCTAGCCTTAATCAAGTAAATCCTACAGAAATAAATTCAGAAATATTTTAAAATAAGTAAATATTGATAGCTATTAAAATCTACGAACGTACTTGATTCCGAAATCACCATAAATTGAAAAAAATGCTGAAGATAGATTAAGAAAAGTACGCTAGAGTGAGTAGTGACATGTAACAAGGTCATGAATGTTTCTATGGAAGAAAAAAAAATGGCGACGAGAGTGAGATTCGAACTCACGCGGGCAGAGCCCATTAGATTAGCAGTCTAACGCCTTAACCGCTCGGCCATCTCGTCAAGATCGACCTTGCAATGTTATTGGTCAAATTATAAACGTTCAATTATCAAGCTTCTGAAAATATTTTGTTTTTTTGCAGATAGCTTATCATCTCTTCAAGAATCATTCATCCGGTTGTATGTACATTTATTGGAATTTCAAAAAGATGAAATACACAGACAACAAAAGCTAACAACTTAAGCTTGTTATTTTATTTATCATGCTGAAATTGCAATAACATGGTAAACATAATCTAATGATATGCTAAAATAAATTATTCGTAGATTGAAGAGATGAAATATTTCATCTCATCTATTAGTTTTTCTGATAATGTGATAATTATCATTAATAAAATTCGACAATATTATTGGTTCAGAATAATTTCGGTGTTTTTGTTTGTTACTATTTTAATCTTCGGATTCTTCTAAAAGATATAGTTCATAAATAATCTCCTCCTTCATAGAATGCAACAAAGCAAACTTGATATCATCATTATAATTGTCCACATATTTCAAACTATCGGATAGAACAATCAATTGGAATTACATTTCTCTCCTAATAGAATTATGCAAGAAATATCGTCTTTATATAAGTACTTCATGATGTCAATCATTTATGAGCATGTTCAATCATGTCAAAAAAAATTCAAAGTTTTGAGCTCTCACGACTTTTTGCTATCTTTATCAATACTACTATACCGTGAAATATTTTAGAATCTAGGTCTGTTTAGCGCTTTGACAAAGAAAATAAAATCTTTACATGATGAATGTATATGACGCAAGGAACTGATATTTGTTTTAAAAAATCAATGGCATAAACTATAATCGTGAGAAAAATAGAAAAAAACAGACAGCTCTTATTTGAGATTTGACATTGAACTAAAAGCGTTTTTCAAGGTTTTTTTGATAAACAACTACATAAAATGCGTCGAAGCAATTCCGAAAGTAACACATGTGATAGAATAGTCATAACTATAACGAGCTTTTATTTATAAAAAAAATAGAACAGACTACTACGCTACGATTTGTAAACGATAGAATGTGTAAAATATTTTATTATTATGTTGTTACCAACATTATAAAAAATTAATCAAAGAAACAATACACAACTTGTATAAAAAACGTCTCTTTTCAGTAGTGAAAGTGTCATAGCCATAAAAAAGTTATTGTGCATGAAACGTTATTTGTGGCCTAATAAGATGTTGTCATACCAAATCCAAATGGCTGACCTTGTATGCCTCCACCATAACCAGCTCCACCACCATAACCAGCTCCACCACCATAGCCAGCTCCACCACCATAACCACCACCATAGCCACCACCATAACCACCACCAGTTCCAGCGCCCATAGCAAGGAATTGTTGATACGCCGTACCGAATTGTTGTGTCCAAGGAACTAAGATTGTCACCACATTCTGACCAGCGCCTCCATATTCTTCATAGCCTCCATAGCCTCCATAGCCTCCAAGACCTCCACCTCCTCCAAGACCTCCACCTCCTCCCAACCGTGATCCAAGACCTGTGATTTTAGATCCAAGACCTGTGATTTTAGATCCAATACCTGATCCTCCGCTTCCTCGACCCAACATATCTTATGTATTAGACGCGAATAAATTTAGAATGAATGTTGTTCTTGTGGTGTGTTTACTTTTCACTGACGATGAATTGGTAATTATGCGGTTAGAAAGTGGCGATATATGTAAGTTTGATACGTAGGTGAGGTAGATATATATATATATATACATACGATCATTCAGCTGGAACACCAAGCAATATTATTACTAATACGCATATTTTTTACGCCCTTGAAGAAATACAAAAAAAAATACGCATGTTTTTATCGTATTGGACAAAGACAATAAAATAGACGAAATATGATAGCGAAAGAAAAAAAAAGAAAATGTATGCTTTTGTTTTTATCAGATCACTCATATATGCAGTAATTCACTAGATTAACGACAAAAATATTACAAGCGAACGAAGAAGAAAAAAAACTATTTAAACGCTCGGATAATTATCGTGAAAAAAATAAAAACATTAGCTGGTAAACTTTGCGAAAGAAGATTAAGGTATAATTACGACTTGAATATGGCTTTTTCTTGTGTCTCTCATCGTTTTGAATTTATTGGTATTCACATGTGTTTGACTCGCATTTATAATTACTATTATTTCGTAATTAAGCAAAGATTCGATTGAGCACGAAAATATTTTTACATGCATACGATAGTGTGCGTTTTTATGCGTTGAGAAATGATTTAGAGGAAAATAGTTCTGTTTTGACAGCTTGTTATTGTCAGCTACAATAGAAAAATACTCAGTATAACTTCAATTCAAAGCAAAAGATGAAACTATACGTGTCCAGACGCGTTATACTCATCGTTTCGTACTTTGTACTTGAAACATTTAAAGAAAGAGAAAGAGATTCAGACTCTAATATTCATACATTGCATGTGCTAAATTTAGCCTGACATCTGAAAGAAACATGATAACTGCGATAAAGACATACAGAAAGCGAACACAAAACTTGAGAAATAATGATGACTTTTTAAGATTAATTTCATCTATCGATTGACTAATAATATAACCTGTAAGTGCGCTGTTTTTGACAGGATTTCATCATAAACCATTGTTTACCGGAGTGTGTCCGTTTTGGCCGAGAATTCACATTAAAAAACTAATTGCTGACTTGTCAAGGTTTAACGAACTATAATCAATGGTGTTTCTGCCTCATTTGTAACTAATAAGTCTAATCCAGTTGCCCATCTAATTATATATTTTCTTGCTGTGATTATTTCTGTCATATACTAAATCTAATCTGATCACTTTCAATTGAGAAATATAAAAAAAAACAATTAGTTTAGTGAGTACCGACGACTATCACCCCTACATCGATAGAATATCATATCAACATACGTTTTAGGGCTAGAAGAAGTGTAAAATGTGGTTAGTACGATTACATGTTTTTGTAAGAAATGTCTAAAAATTTTGCAATTAAAAACTATTTATTAAAATAAAAATTTTATCGTTTTGACGACATGTGTTGTTCGTAGTAATAATTTTTTTGTCGACAACAATAGACACATAAGTAACAAATTGTATAGTGCTGTATCTAAGAGTCATTGTTATACTCGATGATAATGTTAAGTTTGGTACATTAATATCGTTCCGGGGATATGAATGTATTTACATAAGCTTTTACATTAATTGTCATCTAGCAAATGAAAAACTATATTGTATAATACCGAGTTTTAAATAGGAAATAAATTAGTCAAATAGAGCCTATATTTATAGTAAAGCATAACTGAAATTTCATGAAATCTAATCCAACGGTGAATAAGTGATTTTTATGTTTATTTCAGAGTTGAATGTAAAAATCGTTTGATATTTGTTTTTATTCTAAACAGCAACATTGTCGCTCCTTTTTAATTAAATTCTATTCTGGCTAAAACATCGATTATTCTAATGTGCTTGTGATACCTTGTTGAACCAAAAAATAATAATAAATATCTCAAAATTCTATTATTCTAGTTAATTTGCTGATTTAAAGTCTCTTCACTTTTTATTTTTATTCTTATAAATATTGATGCTGCAACACCAAAAATATATTTATTGAGCAGTAGCTTATAAAACAAATATCAAAACTATAGTAGGACATCATTTTTATTTTTGTAAAATTAAGATGAACGATTGGCGTCATCTACATAAAAATGTCTACAAATTAAAATAAAGTGTGAGAAATGCGATACATTGATTTTATTATTTCCTAGAACGAAAATCAAGGGGAAAAGGGCGGATTTGGGATTTTGAAAATCACAAAACCTAAAACGTGAATGATGGAATTTCCATCTGAATTTTTTCCCATGTGTAAGTCTCATGATCCTTAGAATATTCTAAAGTTTTCAACGCAAACATATGTTTCCTTCTTAAGATAATGAATGCCCAAGAAATACTCATTTCACGGCACGGTCAGAAAATCCAGTTTTTTTTTTGGCAATTCAATATTTTAAGAAGGAAACATTTGTTCGAGTTGAAACTTTTAGGATCTTTTATGGAGCATGAAACCTATATGCATGAGAAGAATTTCAGGGCGAAACTACGTCATTCACAGAGGGAAAATTGCTTTTCAATTTATGGGATTTTCCTCTTGACTAAAATAGTATTTTATAGTGCAAATCTAAATTCATTCCATGGAGAAAATTTCATATGCTGATATAGTACAGAAGAAGTGAGTCAGTTACCTATGAATGGCCTATACTACTATACAATTGAATGGAATCTATGCTTCACGAATTGTCCTTTCAACTATTCTACCCATAAAAATGACTCGGCCATTTTTACAGCATATTTTTAAAAGTTTTTTTTAGATTTTTTGTTGTCAAAAACGTACCGTTAGACTTTTGAGTTTTTCCATCGAAATCGATAAAGCATCAGCTCATGAAGCTTAGTGGTGCCAACAACGATCAAATTCCTGTATGCTAGAATGGAGTTGCAGTAGATGATACTCATTAGCTCACGCAAATATGCAACTAAACCCTATAAGAGCCTTTTAAATCGAGCGGCATCTTATTTTGGCAACATACAATATTCTCTATTTTTGGTGTAGATTTTCAACGCCGATGAACATCTTTATCAGCTGGCTCAGTTTCAAAACTTAATAGAATGCTGTCGATCAATTGAAATGACTTGTATATATTGTTAAATTACGCGATTCACAACATTGCTATGAGGAAAATACATGACTTTAACAGTAGTAAATGCTAAATGAGAGGGGAACCTAGTATTTTAGGTTAATATTTGTTCATAACAGTCAAAATTTCTCTACAGATTATGCAGGATCCGTCGTCCTTCTTCTTCAAAATACCGGGAAACCCATAAAACTATATTTAATAGCACAATTCGTAGAAGAATGACTAGCTTTAACTTTAGAAAACAGGAAATATACTCAAATTTGACTTTAACTAGTAGCAATCAAGTCAAAAACTATGTTTATCTACTAGTTTTCAAAATTTAACTAATTTAAATTTCAAGCAATTTAATTTAAATTTAGTTAAATTTAACTTTTCATTTAAAAATAATTTAATTTATTTTAAATTTAAATGTGACACCCCTATTTGAACTAATTTTCAGATACTCAATTCTCATGCAGTCTTTGCTCTGAGGAGTAGACGTCAAAAATCCATAATATTTAGTTAGGCAGTATTTGTTCTTCGTAAGGAATACTAGTTGTTTTATGGTGAAGCACATTTACATCTATTCCAAATTATCCTGATTGACAAACTATATGCGATGGATTTCACAACACTATTGTCATAAGCCTATATCTTTATCTTATTGAATATATTCTAGTAAAAATATATGAGTGAATTGCGATGACATTATACGGTTTGAAGAAAAAAATAAAAGTGAACAGAGGATAGATTTGACCCGTGCATTCGATAGAGCCTTATTTATTGTATATGAGTCAACTATTTTCCCCACTGTCAGGGTTTCCATTTCAGAGAAAATCGACATCTCAAAATATATGAAAGGTCCGAGATTTCTTGACAAAAAAATGATGAGTAAAATGTTTTTACATGGTTATCATATATGAAACGAATCACTTTCAATCGGGGAATCCAAGAGACATGTGCAGAATTTTACTCACATGTATTATTCATGCATTTCGGGAGTGTAATGCGATTGCTATTATTAAAAACGCATATTTTTTTTAGAAACGCGCATTATAGCTAAGTTTTTTTAACATTGTTCCGCGATAACAACGAAATGTCTAACAATGTCTCTGAGTCGATAGAAGTAAAAGAAGATGAAATAATATCATATTTTCTCTGAATATCTATCATTTTAATCTGCTGTGACATTTTTTCAGTAAAATACTATTTTCTTGCGAACGACACTTAGTTAACAGCTCAACTTTTTACCATAGATGCATCATGTATTCAGTCAAAAATGGTAAAAGAAATCATTGATTAATCTCTTATAATTAGTGAGAAATGAAAAAGTCAAAATAAGAAATCTGTCGTGACATTTAGTGCGACGATAGCTACCAATCTGTTTTATTTTTATTTTTTTGTTTCATCGTGAACATTTTTTTTATCGATTTTTTAATCAAAATATTTCTCGCTCTTTGCTCTATCAAACACAAAAAAGAGATTGCAAGATTTGATCAGGAAATCCAAATCGAAACTAAGATTACTTTATATAGTTAAAAAGAGGAGAACCTGAGCTGCCAACTTGCATAAAAAAATCTATTTATCCAGTCAGAATTGTAGGATATAAAAAGGAATTTCTGTCGATAGACCCTGCCAAACAGCTTTCGTAATGATCTTTGATGCTTGAAAAATCCTTATCACACAAAATAAAAACCTCGATAATTCTATGGTGAGTAGGACGGACCGAATGGAGCATTTCAACAAAACAATTGTCCAAATCGATTGAGTAGAAGTTGAGCTATAAGATTTTTCGTGTTCGCAGAGCAACTGTATAATGTCAGCGCAATTCACTCATATAGGTTTTATCATATATTTTTTGCCTCCAACAAAACATATGCAATTATCAATATTTTAATGTAAGCACAATGAATCCATTGAGTTTGATCCAATCTATACTTGTAGCATACGTTCGACTCATCTTATCGACAAACAAATAATACGGTTTTCTCTCTTTTCAATATTCATTATTTTTATTTATTTAATAGAGTTAAATGTTTCTTTTTTTAATAAATCTCGATTATATATGAACTATGGCATCTTTTGCCAATTTTAACATGGATTCGTCAAGTGTGTGACCACGTCGTTTTCTATATAATCCATAAGCACAATCATACGCATTTATTTGTTCCAATTTAGGCGATGTTGCATATTCGAATTGTAGCGTAAAGTATCGAATACAATAATTTTTCAACACTTTTTGTACATCTTTACCATATGCATTTGTGCACGTACTTAACATGGTATCTTCATCACATACAATATGTAATGATGCATAGATTTCTTTTGGAGTTGCTCTAAAACAGAGCAAAGCGTTAGTTTTTGCTTTTTCTTACAGAAAAACAAGAAGACAAATCGTGACACTAGTACCTCCAAATATGAAAGCTATGTATACTTTTAATTGCTGGTACAGCAGTAATTATCTCGTTCATTAACTTTTGCGTATCGATACCGTCGGGAACATTTTCAATTAAAACTGCACTTATAGAAAGTATAACAGGTATTGCATGTACAGCAACAAGAATAACCATTATAAGTGTTAATATGGGATCAACATATTTTAACCAAACATTGATTTCGTTGCCTGTTAGAGAATCTATCTGTGGAATAAAGTGAATCATCAAGCCCGATATAATAACAATGATTGGCTCCAAAAAAATAACCTAAATAGTTAGCGGGAGAGAAAATGAATTATCAAATGGAAACCAAATTTATCGAAAGAAAAACTTACAAACGAATGTAAACATAAAGCATGTAAAGTGGCATATACTCTTGACACTTCCATATCAACATTTTCGTAGGCAAAAGCATCAAGATCTGGCGGATGTTGCTCAACACTTTTCGATGAAGTTTTAGCTTTCTTTCGGTGATCCGTAATTTCATCTTGTGATTGTTTGATCATTAACGGAGTTTCAAGAGATTCTTTGGGATTCGATAGAGTAGGTATTCTTTTTAAATTTTTCATATGTTTTTTGGAGAACGATAAAAATTCTCGTTTTCTCTTTTCATTTATTTCTTCTTTTATATCATGATTATGAAGATAACCCCGAAACATAATCATCCCAAGTATACCAATAAATACGCCACTTACACCAAGAATAATCAATACTTTTGGATCATGCACATGTACAGGATTAAACAAATTATTCACAGCATCAACTATAACGCCCAATGATATTGATAGAAGAAATACTTCTTGTACAAGACCAAACAATAATTCTGAACGTTCATAACCAAATGTATTATGTTTGTGTTCATTTGGCACAGTATCTGAATAATGAAGAACTAACATAACACCAATTAAACAAAGACCTTCAGCAAATGAATACAATCCATCAGCTATTAACGCATTTGAATGCGTACGAATGCCATAAATGATTTCAAAACTAGCCGCTGAACTTGTTAGAATAAACATAACAAATACACGGCAACTTTTTGAAGAAAGCGTAGAGATACATGATTGACAGCAGCCGGTTACTTAAATAAAATAAAATCATGCAAAGTAGCCACGAAGAGTCCTACTAACAGAACGAGAATACTTTATTCTTGTGTTTCAGTCGGAAAAAGACACGCGATAACTTCTGAATTCCAAACCGTGATCAAGACTAGAGCTAGACGATCTTTGATGAGAACGTAAACATTACGGTATTGACAAAGAAAATTCATAGAATTCGACTTTCTCGATAGTGGAAAATAGTCCTCGGAGTAACGAAAGTCAACAGATAAATATCAAGACATAACAAATAGGAAGGTTAACACGATTCTAAAGTCAATGTGCCATCATTTCCTATGTTGTGTCGAAAGTTTGTTCGTCTGTTGTCAAACTTGAAACACGATTAAACTTTTCAGTTTGTTTTTATAAACTTACTCGCAGGCATTTTTATTTTGTGTTATCTCATTCACATCGATAAGTATCAGCAAAGTTAATGTTTCTTTTGCATAAAAGTAAAAATAAAAAGACCAAGGTAGTTACTGTTCTTGTCGGCGTATAGCTGTTACCAATCACGTGTATGATCATTGCATGATCGTGATTAGAGAAAAAGACTACTTTGCGTAACTATTCTCTGCGTTTAACAATCGCGCAAGCTTTTCAAGCTGTACATTAAAACATAAAAGCAAGAAAAAGATTGTTTCGATGGGCTATTGTTATTGCTTGTTTGTGCGCTGTGCATAATTCTATTGATAGGCAATAAATCACATATGTTTCATTGAAGTGAATAACATATATATATATATATATATAGATCACGCCTGGTTTCGAGCATTTTTAAAGAAGGAAAACAACCTGATTGGCATATCTCGAATAGCGAAAGATTCTTTTATGCATTAGTAATGATTAAACGTGATTGCCTTTACCTCAATGATTGATACGTATTTCGATACAATGATGTTCCACAAGTAGTAACACCAAGAACGAAGCTCGAGTGACAAATAGCAACTATTTAAACTCCGTGTGTCATATTTGACAATTATTTTATTGTTCTAATTTTGTAATTTGTTAACTCGTACAAATACAACGAACGAGCCATCTATATTTGAGGGTGTGGGTGTGGTTATTTACACCTTGGATACTAACACCCACACCCGAACCCAAGAACTAGGTGGTCTTCATTGGCATAGACTGCTTTTCGTGGTATAGAAATTATTTGAGACTAATATTACAAATTGATGTCACTAATACGACGGAGAAAAACAATAAAACATTTTTATTTTACTCAAAAAGAAATAATAAAATTTCGATCTGTGATTCTATATTCTATTCGAGCCGATTGTTTTTCATTGGCTTTCGCCAATGTCGTCAAACATTGTTTGAACCATATTTTAAATTCTTCGTTAAATGTTAGTGCTTGCTGTTCATTTTGTCCACATAGCATCAAATCAAACGTTACCAATTCGGCACATATTCCGCGCATTATTAATGGCAAAATAAGGTAAAATGTGACATATGGAAAATCAATGTAAATGTCAAAATTTAGAAAAAGTAGCCTTGCCGAAAATAAAGATATGATTCGCATCATATCTTCAAATAGCGGCGGATCGTTGTAAAAGCTAATCGATAAGCAATCAATTTTCTTCGCTAATTCTTGTACAATTGAAGGTGATTTGAGGAGTTGAAGTAAGTAATTGTAAGGTATGTAAAGATGAGCAACATTTGACAACATAACTAGAAGATCGTGTGTAAAAGTTAATGGTGAATGAATTGAATCGGTTGGTGAATGAGTTGTGAAAGCAAGCGTATTGATCTTCGATAAATCCGGAATAGACTTCTGTATGTCAGAACAGATCAAACTAAATAAGGTAACAACTAATTCATTTCGTGTAAAATGATACCGACGGACGAGGCTCCGAGTCTGCCACCCCTGTAGAATCTAATGGCAATCATCTAGAAAAATAGTGACAAGATTTGTATCGTTCTGATGTGAATCTCAAAAACAAAATTTGCTATCAACAAAGTATCTCCGAAGATATCATTTTTTATTAATTTTAGACATGAATGAGAGAATATTTTAGTATTCCATTTTGCAGGGCGTGAAAAGACCTATCAAATTAGGCTATAGAAATCAATATTGAAATAGAAGCGGAAAATTGAGAACATCTGAATACTTTGTTGTTTACAATTTTTAGCTTTGAGATTCATGCAAGAACGTAAAAGCATCAAGGAACGATGCAGGCTTTTATGCTCTATCTTACTAGTTGATTGCCATTAAAAATCTACAGGGTTGACATATTCGGAGTCCGACTCATCAGTGTCATTGTTTTTCGGAATAAATCGCCTATCGTACCTATTTTTCGTCGTATCATTTTCCGCTGCAATTGTTGTGATTTGCGAATGAACATTGATTGATGTCACGTTCGGGTAAGTAATTGGTGGTTCATTCGCTACTAGTTGATCATCGTGCAATGTAATTTTTAGCTTTGTTATATTTTTATCAATATTAATCATATCATTCATTGCTGTTATATATCTTTTTTTATCATAGAATTCTACAATATACTTGCCGTCGAGCGAGGGTTGTGAATAGGTATAGAATTCGAATAGCGATGGGTCTAATCGGAAATTATAATCCATAATGACAGAACTATCAATCCATTGACCATTAAGATCATTAAATGAATAGACAAGTTCCGGTGGCGGACTCTGAACAACATCTGAATATAAAACAAAAGAGAGCTCTCATTGATGTTACTCATCTACGATGAACGGTTGTCAAGTTACCATCGATCCGTATGTGAAATTGAAATTTTTCTAATTTTAAGAGGTATGTAGAAATGAACCGATGCCAAATTGCCGCCGATACAAAATTCAAGTCATCATTAAATGTTGACAATGTTAAATGTCTTAGATTGGGAAATAATTTTACGACAAGTTGAAAATTCGTTAACGATAAATAATTAAATGACATGTGGAGATGACTTAATGATGCTAGACCAGAAAAGAAAAAAATCGATCTTTATTTAGATAGGATGTTAGATAGCAAGTTCTCTGCCAGTCGAATTCAATAGCCTCTCTTTTTAGGATATTTCCCAGTGCTCTACTTTCTCTCTCAACTTGAATCCTTATTTCGAATAGATCCTAGTTTTTCTCCCTACAAAAATGTTGTATTTTCCTTTTCAAGAAATGTTGTGTCTAGTTCTTCTGCCTCCCCAGTCGATCCGTCCTGTTCATGCACATCAGTTTCTTGAACTTTTGGAGCAAGAAAGTCATGCGATTTGAACAAACTCTGAGGTCTGTACAGATCAAGAACGCAGAAAAAAGTTTGCTTAGGGCTGGTATTTGTACGTGCCCGTCATTACCACAACGGTGATTATCAATTATTTGTCCATCAATTGATTCTAGATCTTGATCATTCGTATAATGTATTCCAATTTTCATTCGATTTAAATTTGGACCCACATATTTGAGCAGCTCTAAGAACTCGACCACATGACAACCATCGATTTCTAAATATTCGAGTGCCGTCAATGGATGAATATCAGCATGGTTAAAATTAAAAATAATGGGTTCAACTGAATATAGAATCAGATATTTCAATGATTGTAATGAAAATAGAGCCGTTGTAATATAGACTGATTGAATCGCTGCTCTAGAAATGTTCAAGTAGAATAGATGTCTTAATAAATGTAATTTTGACACTACTTTATCTAAAGTAGAAATCAGACTTTACTCTTGGAATCCTTCGTGCCTAAACGTCTTACCAAGATTTTCCGAAGACGCATCTGTTATGGTCAATGCTCTCAAATTGGTGAAAATGCCAATATCAGTAAACTGATGAACGAGTGTCAAACGATCAAGTCTGTCCGATAATCTTAGACTATAGACCTGTGATCTCAATGGTCGTGGACTAGAACAAAAATCGTCAAAGGTAGATTTTATCCCGTCCAAATCTAAGTATAATTTTAGGGTATGACATAATTTGTTTAGACGCGAGTTTAAATTGTACATGGCATGATAGAGGTCGCAATGCGATAAGAATTCAAATACGTAGATTAACAATTCATTTGGTAATTGCTCTAATAACATAGATTTTACTGGTGGTGTTTCAACCTAAAAATATGAAATTAGAAAAATCCATATAGGTGTCCAAAGCTCGGTTATCAATATTTCGATAAATAGAAACAACAGAGTTCGAGCTTCGAAGGCATACGAACAGTATAACCTACCTGCAGTTGGAATGTGTCTTTCCCCTCAACCATTGCCGTTTTTTGATGACTGGTTTGAATAGAAAAGAATCGAGAATAAATGATTTTCAATTGTATTACAGGACGTATTCGAAAAATTTAAGATTGCATTATGCACAAGCCATTGTAGACGCCTATGCAATCACAGAAAAACTGATAAAACTGATTCGAAATTCGAAGTAACCTATGATTGTTCTCGGCAGAACCCGAAGAAAAAAATGTGTGCGTTTTTATTTTTACAGCTCGTGATTATAAATTTCAAAATGAGTAACACATATGCAGATGTACTGTGAAAGGGTAGGCAAATATGACGTCAGATTTTCAATCTTTACGAAAATATCTAATCTATGTTCTCAATGTGATAAATCAGAATAAATTCAGGTAGCTTTTTTCTAAAAGTTGCCCTCTACAAAAGAAAATATTTCTGTTCGATACTTTGAATTGTCAAAACAGTTATCCAAAAGTAGTTCATTCATTATCGTTTGAAATCACGAGTTACCTAATTCGAACTATAATATAAATGATGAGCCTCTTAATGCTTCTATCATTACATAATGGAAATTTTCACCATGCTCATCATCGAATTAGGGAACTGATCTTAATTTGATCACGCAATGTAAACTGCATCGGGCATTGAAGAAGAGCCGAAAAATTATATTTGCGCTACCCGAACTACGGAATTCATAGTGAACAATGCTACAAAAGTTTTAGAACACGCGAACGACTATCTATATGCAAAGTATAAATAACGTAACTTATAATCCATCGAAGAAAATGATCTAAAGAGAGTTTATTATCATCGTATTGTAAAACTTGGTGAAGATTAATAAAAATATAAAGTCTCTTCTCTATACGAATACATAAGAATATTTGATTTAAAATGTAAGTTTGAAAAATCTAACTTTTAGGTATCATTTAGAACTTTCTCAAGGCATTTTTTAAAGCTTAGAATCATTTTTGTTGATTGCGTCAATTTTTTAATCCTCAGTTCCAAATCTGATGAGAGACAAATTGTGTATCATACTTTTAATGTATTTTGCTTGAAATGAAGTTATTCAAAGTTGGATTAGATTTCAGCGGCTTTCATAGGCATTGAATCATAATTCATCTTGTTGAAATCATTCAATCGTAGCATATAAATAATATGACTAATACTTTGAGGGAAAAAAAACAATATTCTCTTATTCTAGACTATTCAATATAATCGTAGTTATTTAATGCAGATTTTTATCACCTGATGAGACAAAATGTCCATAGCTAATTATTTCGGCTTATAGAAATCGATGAACTTGTATATCTATTTCGGCAAAAGAACACGTGCATCAATGCAATTTAAATAAATTTTGGTCGAAAAAATAAGTAGACAACTGCTCATTTCACCTGTAGGCAGTAGAAATAACAAAAGATTCAATTTAATACTACATATTATTTTCTAATTTTCATGTTTCACGATTTTCAATCGCTTGTTTTCATAGGACTTCAAGGACTACATTCCATGTTTACGATGTATAACAAAATATCATATACATATTTCTATTCAACCAAGTCATTTTTTCTTCGTCTATATGAAAACATGATTCGATGTGACTTGATATTGTCTGTTTGACTGTTATTTGTGATGAATATTAGTGCTTGATTTTCAATCTGTGAAAAGGCAGAATAAAATTTTACTCAACTATCCACGGAAATTTGATACTTGCACTATGTGCAATAAGAACATCTAATATAAATGCTTACATGACATTTCCTATTGTGGATTAAAGCATCATAATGAATATCATATCGGTATGAATGACCGATCTAATCCATGATAAAATATGAGGAGACATTGAATGATGCAAGTGATATTTGAATTAGGGGAGCGAGTTTTTGATTAGGTCAATTATTATTTTTTTCTCTCTAGTAGGATATTCATGTATATCGTGCGACATGACCTTTAATTGAACGATTTACTACTGGCTATCAATAGATATTTGAACAAACCTTCATATAAGCGCGTTTGCATTCGGCCTTTTTTAACCTTGCGAATGATAATTAACGTCAATGACTAACTGACTCTCGGTTAGACTGGATGAAGAAGACGAAAAAAACGTTGCTCACATTTTTAGCGTTTCCTTTCTTTTAAGCAAGGATGATGAACAACCTTTGCGTCATTTGTAACTATTACATTAATCACTGTTCAGGAGATAAAATCACGATGAATAGTATCTTTGAATTCGATATGAGTAGTTTTATTCTGTGTTCTTAAGGAAGTATTCTATATTGAAAAGCATGATGAAAGGAGAAGATCATTGATGCATGACAAGACATGGAGGAGCGAAAAAAAGAAATATGAAATAAATAAACCAAATTACTTCGTAGATGTTCTCGCGCATGCTGTTCGCTTTGCAAAAAAGCGCAACTAATCGATTGGACAACACTCCGTCACTACATATACAGTCAGGCAGAGAAAGAAAATGATAAAGAACAAGAAAGAGGCAAGATACTTCAGTTGATTACAATAATAACTTCTAGTACAGCAGCGGTATACTTGTTCGTAGCCCACATAAAAAGAAATATGCAAAAGGCATATTATCATTGATTTCTTTTTTTTTCTTATTTTTTCCTTCATACATATTTGCCTGTATAAAAACCACATTATCAAGAGCATTGTGTTTGCTTGCTTACTGTAAAAACACACTCACATTTGTATAGATCAGGGTCAGCTATTACTCAATAACAATGAGCAATTCTACTAGAGGCAGTAATAATTATGGAAGTGTCTCAGCAAAACCACAACAACGCGATGATTCAACAGTAATTCGTCGAACATTAGTCGAACATGGCTTACGACCAGTAGATGATGGTAATTCATTGAGTAATAAAGGGTCAACTGTTGCTGCTATAGCAGCAATGAATCAACAGCATAAAGATGAACAACGTGATTTACAAGATTTAAATGCTAAATTTGCAACTTATCTGGATCGTGTACAATTTCTTGAAGATTGCAATCAACGGTTAACAGCTGAACTACTTAATTTAAAGCAAAATTGGGGTGGAGATGCAGATCAATTTCACTCTACTTATGGTCCACAACTAGAAGCATTTCGTCGTGATCTTGATCAAGCTATAAACGATCAAACACTTCAAGAATTAAAAATAAAACGAAGTGATATTGACACATACCAATTACAAACGCAAATAGATGCAATCGATCCTAACTATGATGCATATCATTTAAATAAATTGAAACAAGAATTAGATCTATCATGTTTAACATTAGAAGACCTGAAAAGTCACGTTGATAAAAGTTTTACTGATCTAGGACGATTAAAAAATCTTATGGATCATTCATTACAAGATGTGAATAGTTTAAAAAACGAATTAGATAATCAACAATTAGAACGTATTATTATTGCAAATGAATTGCAAACATTAAAAGAACATCTTGCTTTTCAATGTTCAGTTTATCAAGTGCAACGAGCAGATACGCTTTCTCTCAGTAAGATTTTAATTATTCATATTATGTATAGTTTATTATTCATGAATTTGTTTTAGATACACCTGCTATTGATCCATCGACATTTTATCGTACTGAATTAGCTCATGCTATATCAGATATTCGACGAGATTTTGAGATACTTTTTCAAACGCAAACAAATGAATTAGAATCGTATTATCAAGTTAAAACTGAACAAGTACGTGAAGAAATCGAGACAGAAAATGAACGTAAACGTTTATTGGCTGCCGAAGGTGCTATTGAAGTTTTGGATCCACTCGTTTTATCGTCATCAATACGAGATAGCCAAAATGAATTACTTTCATTGCAAAGTGATCATAAAAATTTGCAAGCAGAACTCGATGCTATTATTGATGATTTAGAAAAGATTCAAAATGAACAATTAAGAGAAAGAGAATCCTATGAAAGAGAAATTGTTCTAATTCGAGAAGATATCGAAGATAAACAAAATACTATTAGTAGTATTTTAGAAAATAACGTTTCACTTCGTTTTGAAATGTCAACATATAGAGGTTTATTACTCAGTGAAGAAAATCATATAAATAGAATGGCACAAGGATCACAAGCACAAAACTTCTCACCAGGCTCGTCATTATTGCCATCAGACGGCATATCATCATTGGTATTAACTTCGTCAACAGTACCGCCATCTAGAGTATCAACATTAACACCTGGCTTATCATCTACGCTAACATCCGAAGTATCGACATCAATACCGGGAACATCATCAGCATTACCATCAAGAGGAGTATCAGCATTAGTATCGGAATCATCAACGTCACCATACGGATTAACAACAACAGTCACACGTTCATCCTCATCGTCAACATCAACGCCATCAAATGTATTCGGATTATCAACAGGATTGTCAACTGCAGTACCAACCGGAATAACAACAACAACAACAATCACAAAAGCAACGCCAACAACACCATTAACTATATCAGCCTTAGCAACAGGATCACCATTAACGGTTACATCCAGAGCATCGACATTAGCATCGGGATCACCAACAACATTGCCATCAGATGAAATATTAACATCAGTATCAGGATCATCGTCAACGGCACCATCTACAGCGTCAGGATTAGCAGCAACTGGACTAACATCAGTATATCAGGATAAAGCGACTCCCAATGTACTTCGTCATACTTCAGGAACAAAGAAGATGACGGTTCAAAAAATAGCCAGAGGTTATAAGACGATAATATTTTAAATTTGCATTTTTGTTTCTCGTTTTCGTTACTATATAGGTCCAATATCATTAGATTTAGTTGATTTAGAAAATGATTCAGTTGTATTAGTTAATGAACGATACAGTGGCAGTGAACAATCACTGCAAAATTGGTCAATTCATCGTCAAGTCGATCAGCAACCGGAAATAGCTTATCAATTTCCACCAGAATATTCATTAAAATCACGACAAACAGTTCGTATTTTTTCAAAACGTAGTTCACAATTAAAAAGTTCAGTCAGTGATGGTTTAGTTGCTGATCAAGTCGATACATGGAGTATAGGCCAACACATGGTAACACGTTTAATCGATGATCACAATGAAGAGAAAGCAGTTTTAACACAAATATTTCAATAAAGAAAAAAATACACAAACAATGGAATCAATTTCAAACATATCTCTCTCCCTCTCTTTCTCTTTTGCTCTTTAAATACATATGTACGAAGATAGAAAAAAAAATGCTTTAAACCCTTCTCTTTTTCTTTTTTAAATAAACTTGAAAGAATTGATCTTCTTTGTTTTCATTTTGAAAAATAAATCTTTATTTTAACATATTTACAACTGTGAATAAATAACATAATGAGAGGAAAAGAATGTATCGTACAAGATGCATATCTAAGATCAAAGTCCAGTGAAAACATGTGTTTTTGTTCTCATCGATATTCTTTATATATAGAGTCTAGATGGAAGGTGAAATTGCTACTGAATATTGCACTCCATCCTTTTTACAATGACATTGACTTCTTCTATCGCTATGCTGGTTTTACTTATGGTTGCCACTTCAATTGAAGCTGTATCAGAATCGAGTAGCGAACCGGTTGTACACGAAGGTACATTCCAATGAGTATACATAACAGATAATAATTTCTTTCTCGATTTTTTTCTTAAGGTCAATGTCCATCCTATAATTCACCATTTCAAATTATGTGCCGTCGTCGTGTTTGTCTTCCTGAAGAATTAATTCCACTATGCAAAATGGATGGTGACTGCGCAACAACACACAAATGTTGTCGTCCTCTATGCTCATGCAGAGTTCGTTGTGTCGAAGCTGTTTCAGCATAGATCGACAAACAATTCTTTTCACAAAACAGATTGATAATTATTTTACAAAAAAATAAAAACGACAGAATCATATAAAGTCAAACTAACATCATTCATATCAATTTTGCTGCCACTCATTTTTCTTGACATGCTTCTGTTTGCACTAACTGACTGTTTCAAAGAAGCTGCAACAAAAATAGAATCGACGATCGACACCAATAAGTATCATACAAGAAGGCAAGGGATAATATGTTGAAAATAGAACAATAAAAAAACAAGGGCTAGCAGAAGAATTGTTCTTTCATATATTTAGCGTTCCAATAACATTGATGCTGAAAAAACAGAACTGATATGTTGTTGGATGTCTACTAATGTATTTACAGTTGCGGTTATTTTTGTTCTTTGTTCCGTGAAACTCGATATCATTCACGAGAAAAGCAACCATCTTCTGATTTTTTCAGTATCACCTTATTATTATTATTATTATTTAACCATGATATCAGTTATACTTTCTCGGATAGAGATTATGGCAAGGGGGGAAAACTGATTTCTTGTGCCAGAAATCAAAAAATCACCCCCCCCCAATTGGATTGGGGTTTATGGTGTATTTTGTTGCAATGTAGATAGATAATTACGAAGAAAATCATGATCAATTAAAATTCCGAAACAAAAGATAAATATAAAACATAGGAAAACAGCACAACTCAAGAAGCATAGTTTACATAATCTGTCCTGCAGAAAAAAAAGAGAAAGATCACAATTAGACTTTTCGTAAGAGTATTTCTGTTGGAAGAACGTATGATTTAACTAAAGACTAATTGATGATTAAGAACTAGACTAAAAGTATATGGTCTTTAATCTGTTCGACCCATTTCATTGGAATACAGTCACGAATGCAATCTTCAGATTATGGACTAAATATAGACCAATAGGATGTGTTTATTTGTATTCAGCCATAAAAATATTTCTTTCGGAAAACGTTTACATAAGACACTATCTATTCATAAACACAATACGTAATGCACCCTTAGAAATATGAAGTACGAAACAAAATCATACTATATATTGTATAGATTTAAATAAATGATTCATTGTATTCTACAATCATAATTTTGCATTATTATCGACCGTATCGAGACCAGGTTTTTGTGTCTGAGATATATATATAACGAAATGTGTTTGATGCTCAGTAATAATCGAAATCATCAACATAATTTCCATTGAATTTCGTGATCCGACATTTATAGCTAATATTTTGAGTAGCATTCATTGGTTAGATAATAACCATATTGCATTATTTTGTGTTCATTAATAATTCCTAATGACAAAAAGAACTTACGAAATTTTCACTACTACTATATATAGATGGTACTTGACATCGTAAAAGTGAAGCGTAGTTTTCTTAATTGAATTTTACATTTAGATTCTTTTACTTCCTTTTTTCGTGTTAAATTTGACATAGTGATGTTAATTGAAGGTCACAATCAAATGGTACGTGTATGTACTGTCATTTGTAATTGATATTTCATCTACATCTATTTGTTATACGTCCCGTGCATTAAGTTACCATTGCGTTGATGATAAAGGATCTCATGAAATACTTTTTCATGCAAACTGCGAAAGTTCATTGATTGAAATTGATAAATCATTATGAAATACCGAACATGAAGGCGATTGTTTCTCGTGGTCAAATTCACTGTTCATTACGAATTTTTCAAAAATTAAAATTGGTGTTACTAATCGAGGTTTTGATGAATCAATATTTCAACAATGTAAACGTATTCTTTTTTGCTGTAAGAACTACTGATGAAAATGATCTTATACGAGAAGATATTGTACATATGAATAATGTTGATTATATTGACATTTTTTTAATGAAATACTAACAACAGATGAAATACTCCGAGCATAATTATTCATCTCCGATAATTTGCTTATGAATCAACAAGATTATGCAATAGTAATGAAAGCTGTTAATAATTATCTACAAATGAATGTTTATTGTTTTTAAAAGCTTCAATAACTTGTAAAATTTCAGTTGTCAGATTCGTTTTAAATCTTTTTCATTTCTTTATGAATACGTGCTCGAATTGATCATCTGTGTGAATGTTAAATTATCCCGATCGATCTCTGCACTAAGTCGCAAAAGCACGAAAAATGCATCTAAGAAGAGTACGCCATCTGTTGATGAAGGTTGAGAAGAGACTTTTCGATTGGGTTCGACCGAAATATCCTGTGGATAGCTGTTTTTAATTCATCATTTAGTTTTGCAAGAATTATCTCTAAGATCTAAATGGCTTCGATTGTAAGTCGATCGTTTATTATGATGTCTCTTCGTAAATCTTCTTCATTGAAACGTATTCCAATCGTGTCGATTCGTTCTATTTCTTCTGATCATCAGCAACAACATCTTCGTCCATTGATGCTCATGAATATTCCACGAACTCCCTATCCAAATCTATTATTAATATTAAAAAATTTCGTTTCCCGAGCAATTATTAGTGGATATTTCGATTCAACATTTGCTATGAAGCCATTTTGTGACGGTGCTCGACAAGCAGTAACTGCTGTTTCACAACTAATAGCTAATGGTCAATTTGATGATCTTCCTGGATTTGTTACGCCAGAGGTAGAAACTTGAAAACAAAACGAAGAAGTCATTATTTCATAAATCATTAAAATAAAAAAATAAAAATCTAATCTAGGTCATCAATGAAGTTAAACAAAACTATGGAAATTTATCAGTACAACAAAAACAATTGATTCCTGTTGAAGAAGGAGAAATTGTTTTTTCTTATCCATACTTAATTGGTCTTATTATGGACGAACAAACAAGTAAAGATCTAGTTTGATATATATATATATTGTTAAATTAATCCAAATGCATCTCTAGATAAGCGTATGGTTGAAATAACAATGATTTTTCATGTTCTAAAAAATCCTGAATCGTATCGAGACGAAATGCTTGACGGTCCTGGCAATGCGGCGTCAAATTGGATATCAGCAGTTAAAAAAATGCGTGATGATATTATCATTTGTAATTATAGATTCTTACGTGACATGAGTAGTGATGCTCAAGATAGTAGTTGGATTATTACAGGACTTAATCATTGGTTGCCGAATGAATATTTGCAACAATATTAAGCGTTGTATTGTTTTTAAAAAATAAAAAATATGAAAGTTTTCATTCATTATCTTGAACGGCAAATGTTTTCAACGATAAACATATTTTTACTTCATGCTACTCTCACTGTGTAAATGCATTTTTTGTAAGAAAATTAAATGCTCGTCGTAGGAAAACATTGGATTTATGTTTTTACTTGATTAAACATCCGTTTATGTTTACTTGTCGTTCTATTGAATGAATAGATTTATTTTCTTTGTGAAAGTACATTTATAGAAGCACGACGGTAGTATATTGATTGTATTCTAGACGACTTAGAGTAGCCTATTTTGTTGACGAATGATAAATTCTGCATTCTCAATCAAATGTATATAATCCTATTGAACACGTAAGTGTGAATGTATAAGAACAAAACTAATTCTCTGCGTAAAAAATTTGCACAAACGATTTAATTAATATATTATCACAACAATGGAAAAAAATTTCCTTATCAATGCATTCAACTCCTTGACCTATAATTCTAATGAGCTTTTCTATATTAAAAGCTGAATATACACAAAAAAGCAAAGAACATCTCGAACAGATGATGTGAGCTATGTTTGAAACAGGTTTATTAAACCAATAAAACAAGCAGTAGAAGAAAGCTCAGATGTTTTATTCTCTTGTTTAGGATAATATTATTTTTCTTCATTTGATAACAGTTATCTATTTATAATCAATTTTTCCATTAAAAAGAAGCAAAAATAAATTAACATATAATTTTTGATTTATTACATATTTAATTCTAGTACGATTGTCGGCGTTCATCTCGCTTTAAGATACGATGAAATGTTCGTCGAAAATGTTTATTTGATAGAGCATATAAAAATGGATTTATGGTTGAATTAACATAGCCAAGCCATATTGTTGCTGTAACAAAACGCTCTGATACACATGAACCACAAAAGGCAACAACCATATATAAAACAAAATATGGCAGAAAACAACATGCAAATCCAAATACAATAGCAAATAATTGTCGAAATGCTTTTTCTTGCTGATTCCATACAGTTGATTGTTTAATTTTGCTCGATGTGCGACGATTCATGTTAGAACTTGAATTAAGTATTAAATTCGATGACATACTGTTTCTATGTAAAGTAAAAGACGAGATTGTGTTCTGTCTCCGACTTGCTACAGATGACAATGATGACGATGATATTTTTGTATTAGTAAATTGTTCAATATTCGAATGTATAGTTACAGCGGATGTAGCTGTTGAACAACAATTGCATAAATTGAACATATTCATTGTTGTTGATGTTCGCATTGTATCTGATAGAGAACAACGTCGACATACAAATGCTGCTCGATTAGTTAAACTATGCGATGTCGAACGGTAGGCTCTTGCCGATGAATTTTGACGACGTTTATTTATAATTCCGATTCGTTCATTTGAATGAAGTCGACATGAATGATAATCATGTGTATGTTTCAAGCAACGCTCATCGACGTTAAGAGGATGTTTTACACTCGTACGACATGGACGCAATTTTAACGAGGATGGCTTTGGTTGAATTGGTGAACGTGAACGTAAATGTTCATTATGATCAGCATAACATGGATATCGATCCTAAATTTAAGAAAAAAACGATGTATTTTCTCTATGATCTTCCTCTATGATGATGCTAACCGGCGTATAAGGATTTCTTTCAACAAATGAATAGGCACGTTTTAATGATGATCGTCGACTATCCGATATTTGATTTGATATTATAGATCGAGGTTTTTTCTCTCGAAAATTAATTCGTAATGTTGGATTAGTTTCATTTTTAATCGATGAGCGTTTTGATGCATTTAAACTATCATTGTCAGTTACAGTCAACGGTGTTGAACATATTTGTTTATCACTATCGCAGAATGCCATTGTTACTGCTGTACGCGAATATCTTGCTGCTGGATTTAATTTATGATAACTTGATGGTTCACTTATTTGATTTGAATGTCTTTGTAGAAGAACACTTTTATAGCGACGTTTGATTTCATAATAAATTCGAGCATTCAATGAAATTAAAACAAATAATGGAAAATAAAAGTTTATTATCGCTGTTGAAACTTTAAATACTTTCGAATGTGTATATTCAGGTTCACATTTCGTAGACTAAAAATTAAGATTAGTTTTGTTTTTCAAGTTAAAAACAAAACTTACATCGATATATCTAACACCATGATTGACAAAACGATGCCATCCAAAAATAGGTATAACCCATAGAAGTGATAAACCCCAAGCAAAACCTATTAATAATAAAGCTCTAGGTCGTGTTCGTTTACCGAGATATTGAAGTGGAGATGTTATTGACCAATAACGATCTAAACTTAATGTGAGTAAATTAAATATTGATGCTGTTGAAGCAGTATAATCAACTGACAGCCAAATCTGACATAGAACAAGGCCTAAATTGAGAGAGAAAAGAAAAGAAAACATTTAGTTACATTTGTTTTTGATAATTGATATGGCTCAGTTGACCGTTCGGTGAAAAAGTACATTCAAGTCCTTTTTAGTTCGCTAATTAATTTCGTTTTTGTTTGAGAAATTGAAGACACTTTTTTTAAGATGATTTCCACTCAACGAACAATCGATATTCTATAGAATAGTCAATTTCATCTTGCTTTTCCTCGTTTAATGTAACAGAATAATCATTCTGTAGTCTGTTTATTCCTTAAATTCGAAGACATAATGGTAAGAATTAGAAAAACATTTCTTCCAGAACGGTTGGATTTAAATAACACGCAATACATCAGATTTAGCATAAATTGATAAGTACATTACACGCTTTATAATGAAACAAGTCCTAGCTTTTATTCTAATGTTAGCAACTTGTGAATTCTCCATTATAGCTACAGATTATGTATTTTATTTGATTAGAGGAATGACTTTGATAGTAGACAATAATTTCAAATTATATTAACTACAAGAGAAACAACGATATGAACATACCCATATTCCATTTTTCCATAATAGCATATATCCCAGCAATGGGCATGACAAAACAACCAACAATGAGGTCAGCAGTTGCAAGACTCAAGATAAACAAATTCCCTACCTAGATAAAATTATAAATAGATATTAAATAGTCACATTATTAACAGATATAAATGTACACTTCTACAAAATAACTCTTACAAGCTGTTCTCATACGATATTAAAATATCTCCTACAACAAACACGAACTACTAATTAGTTGTTATTTAGATAACGTAATTAAGAAACTACTATAAATATATTTGCACATTTTATTGCCTATAATGACCGGCCGTTTTTAACTTAGAAACTATTATTATGAGTTCAACACAACATGGCGATTTCATTACAGTATCAAACAATCTCTGTGTTTCATTTTTTGATAATAATATTTATTAATAAAATGAATTACATCAATTATTTATATATTTATATACGATACTTTAGATTGTAGTACTCACTGTTCGTATACGACGAAATGTAATCAATACTAGAAGATTGCCAGTTATTGTTAATAAGCAAAGACAAATGAAAATAGATCCCAAACTAAATTTGTATGTTAATGTTGCATATTCGAAATTTGATATTAAATCAAAACTATTATTGGTGAAGCTTTGATTCTTTAAATTAGTCAGATTTATCTCTGACATATTATCTATACGAAATGAATGAACATAGATATTCTCGAAACCATATGTATCTTCGTATTGCTCATGTTCTTCACTGATAGGAAATCTGATAATATCAATCATCATTGAGCAGAATTCAAATAGCTTTACTTAATTAATTACATTATGCTCATTGTATGAGATCCATATAGTATCTCATGACTGTCGATAAGCGAGCATCGAACGAGAAATGATAAGAGAATAGGAAAAGGAAAAAGATTTATCATGCATGCTGAATGAGAAAAACAAAATAGTCAGTGAATCTAATATTAAAAGCAATAGAAAATAGAACTCCGATTATGGCCTTTACATGAGGCCAATGATGATTAAAATTACTTCATATTCTCCGTTGTTCTAGGAGTTCTTTTTGTATGATGACATACAGTTGTTTGAAATAACTCGTCACTCAATCGTTCCTGTTCATCAGGTATAGAAAAAAGCAATCGCTTGCACAGATAGACATGAAGTTTGTCAGTTCTGTGTAAGTATCCTACTCCCTCGATCATTTATTAAATCAGATGAAAAGTACTATTAAACATCAGGCAGTGAAGCTAAATAAAGCATGATTAACTCATCTTAATATAAAACTCGTTCTGAGTTAAACGAAAGGGTAAATATAATCAAATGACTGTCGTTTTTTTCTTGGTCTTCTTCTATATATATATATATATAATTATTCTATAGTGACAAACAAAATACGTAAATGTTCAAAAGTCACATTATTTGTATTATAAAATGTCGATTTCCGTTTGTATTCTTTTTTATTCATTCAATTGTTATTTTCCTTTTCTTTTCTTGGTACTTATTTGATTAAATTGATGCTAGAGAACGTCAATGGAATATTTCGGATAGATAAATCAATAGAAACATACACATAATTTACTCGGAAGATGTAGTGCGTATTTGCTAAATTAAGACATAGGAAATTGATGAAAAAAATTTGCAATGGCGTCATAAAAATAAAAGATGAGCCAACTGATGGGTACATATCTCCGTTAGATTTCTTTTTGTATACTCAAAAAAAGTGAGTACACTAGATTCGGTCAGTGTGTACGGCCGTTAACCCGATAACCTTTGACAGCCTCATCCAATTGTCATGAAATTTTGTATACATAATGATCTCATTAATATCTCAGTCGAGTTCGAAGATGAGAAGGAAACGTCAAGAAATCGCTGACTTATCGAAAAAATTATCATTATTGACCAGACCATCCCTAAGGGGCGGGGGGGGGGATAGAGGTATTTTTTCAAAAAAGATGTTTTTCTTAGAATTATTCAC